TTTGGAGCACCAGTGTGAAAAAACTCTGCTCGCGCTAAAAACGTCGATGTTGCGTTAAATAAAACGGTTCGTATATTATCTGGTTGCCTGAAACCGACACCTATCGAAGAGGTCTACCCTATAGTTGGAATCGCTTCACCTGCTATTAAAAGACAGGCCACGTCAGAGATAGAACAAAAGAAGCAGGAGACGGATCAAAGACACCCCTTGTTTGACCAACAAGTTTAGCCAAATAAATTAAGATTTCGGGAACGCTTTCTGAAAAAAACACGATCCCTTCCCGAAGAGCCAAAGACGCGCCGAATACACCTATTGCAAGCGTCAGCTACAACACATTTTGCTCCCTCAAAGGAAATGGCCACTGGACACAATTAGCAAAACAGACTAGGAACTGGCGTTTCACGGTGCTATTAACCTGAAGAAATGGGGATACCAGGAGGAGAATACCTGCGACTGTGGCGTGCTTTAAAATAGTCACCATCTACTCTCATGCACAGAGATGAGAGAGACGTGCATAAAAAGAAGACCTATTCTTAGCGAATGACAGGGCAATCTATGTGGTCAACCATTGAAAACACAAAATTTAAAGCTGTTGATGTTCCGGACAAAGAAAGTAAGTTATAGTATACAATTTTAACAGAATATTTTTTTCAGCAGTACTTATTAAAAGGAAATTCTGATTTTAAAACAAAAGTTATCATAAGCGAAACAAGTGAGTTAATAATTATAAAAAAATAAAATATGTTATTTTTGTCAATTTGCTTAGAACAAAAATTATTTTTATGGAAATCGAAATATTTCTCCTCGACTTATATCGATATCGAAAGCGGAGCAGGAGTGCTGAGTACGAACTCTAAAAATCTTTAATATTAGGAAAACTATTTTTATTACAATCCTTAATAATTTTTATTTATCCCTGCAAATTGTATAATCTCTTTTGATTAATCTGATAAATGGCACGGAACAATGATCAATTCCTATTAATATCTAGGGAATTCAGTTCATTTGCATTGAAATTGTAATACTTCAATAACAGTCTTGGACCGTAACGTTTTGTGCGAATGAACATAATCGTATATCATATTTTCCTGTTTACATTTATATCTTGTTGTTCGTTCGTATGTAAATGCGGTTTAAATTTGAATATAACCGGTCCAAATTATTTAACATTCTTGTCTGTAACTTCTTTAGACTTAACCATAGATAAATAATATAATAGGACTTAACTGAAATAAATGAAAATTAGAGAAATGTCAAAACAAAAATCAAATATTATTTTAAATATACTTGAGTGCAAAAAAATCGACTCAAAATTATTTTGCGAAAGTACGTCTCCTGTTTTAATCAAAAAAGGTGTAAAGTTAAAAATATTTAGTGTACAATTAATAACCTTATTATTGAGTTTGAAAAAAGTTTTGATTTTTGGTAAATCGGGTGACGTATTACAAATAAATAATGCAACACGTAGAGAGGGGGTCATAATTTGACCCATTGAAATCGACACACACCCACTTAACACATTTGGTTATCATAGTAACCATCAATTTCCATAGCAACCCACCAATACATCAGTCAAGTAAGTTCACAACTTTCTAACAAATGGATACAACATCCGTCAAAGCAGCTTAAGCAGTAGCATTATTGAGAGACGACCTGAGCCAGAGAGCCATGGCAAATCGACCAAATTCAAGCCAATCTGCTGTGTTCCGAGTGGATTTTTGGTACCAAGATACTGGTGATTCTATCCGCCGACAAGGAGGAAGTCGTAAACGAATAACAACAAAGAGAGATGATCGATTTTTTGTATCTAAATCTCTGAGAAATCGACATTTGACTGGTGCTAATCTCAAAGAAGAGCTTGGAGAGGTCCGAGGTATGATTAAAAGCGTTTGGACAGTCAAAAGGAGACTGAAAGCAGCCAATCTGACACCATAAAGCATAATTGGGACAGCTTAAACGAAGGGTCCGGAGCAGAAATCATGCACCAAGGAGCATAATGGAATTGAGAGCTGCGCTTAATGACGAAGGAGAAGCAATGTCTCAAAAATTTATTACAAAAGTCATCCGATCTATGTGAAATCGATTGGAAAGTGTAATTAGGAATAGAGGTGGCAATATTAGATACTGAAAAACAAAAAAATTCATTTTGTAATTGATGATTTCTCTGTTCATTACGTCTTTGTTGGGATAGTTCCAATGATGAATATTTGATAAACTTTGTTTGTATTGCATATTGTTTTTATAATGCGTCTTCCAAATAATGAAATAGCAGTTTTGGTAAGTCCAATAATAAAGTTACTGTTTGCACATTACATCTTGTTATTTTCATACTTCTTACATTAAAACAGAAGGTGTAATCTCAAATATCGCTTTTGAGTCGATTGTTTTGCAATCAAGTGTATTTTAAAATGTGATTTTTAATTGATAAATACATAAAATGTAAGCAATAAATCGAATCTAAACTCCGAATGTTTTTTAGTGTCGACAAAAATTACATAGGCCATATATATATATATATATATATATATATATATATATATATATATATATACATATATATATATATATATATGTATATATAAATATATATATATATATATATATAAAATATATATATATATATATATATATATATATATATATATATATATATATATATATATATATATATATGATATATAATATATAATGACTGCCTCATTAGGATAATAATTATTAAGCGTAATAATGATTAGATAATTATCTGATTCATATTATACCCTCACTGACAGACCAACCAAGTGTAGAATATACCTTAGCTGAAACAATTCTGAGATCTACCGCAAATTTAGCCTGGTTAGGAGAGAAAATGCTTGTGGCAGATTCATCGTTTATAACATTTAAATTTTAAAATTAAAATTAATCTAAAGGTTCCACTAAAACTTTGCCATCAAGTGAGCACACATAATAATGGCACTAAAATCAGGAAAACCACCACAAGAAGCTTTTTTATATAGGCATATTTCATTGTAACCTGTCATGTCTAAATTACACAAAAAATTACTGACTAGAACCGATTATAGAGGAAAAAATAGAATGCCTAATCATAAGTTTGGGTTTAGATCAAGCCACTCAACGATAGATCAGTTGCATAGAATAACAGATATAGTAGAAAAAGCTCTAAAAGAAGAAAAAGTCTGTTCCGCAAATTTCTTCGATGTAGCGCAGGCTTTTGACAAAGTGTGGCATGACGGATTATATCATAAAATAAGATGCTACTTACCAAAACAATATTCTGAACAACTAGAATCATATATATCCGACAAATAATTTCGAGTTAAATATGAGGAAGCATATTTAGAATTAAAAGAAGTTAAAGCTGCAGTTTCACATGGAAGTGTCCTGGGGCCAATGCTATACCTGCTCTATACCAGCGATATTCCATCATTACAACCTAACACAATTGTGACATTTGCAGACAACACATGTATTCTAGCCGTCGGACAAAACCTCGAGGATGCAGCAACCATGCTACAGAACTCTGTTGAACAAATTAACATCTGGACCAGGTGATGGCGTATCAAGTTGAATGAAACAAAATCTGTTCATATCAATTTTACTAACAAATGACAACAAGATATTCCAGTTAGTATAAATAGAAACCAAATGCCTTTTGCAAATACGGAAAAATATTTGCGTATGACATTAGATTCCAAGCTACGTTGGAAAGCACATATTAAGAAAAAAAAAGAAGGAATTAGAAATTAAGTTCAGAAAGATGTACTGGTTGATGAAGAAAAAATTCACTCTGTCTACTAATAACAAATTGTTATTGTATAAGCAAGTCCTTAAACCGATATGGACATATCGTATACAGCTATGGGGCAGTACAAAAGAAAGTAAGATCTAAATTATACAACGATATCAGAATAAATTATTAAAGAACATCGTTAAAGTTCCATGGTACTTCAGAAACTGTGATCTTCATCAAGACCTCCAGATGGATACGATTATCCAGACAATAAGTAAGTTTGTCAAGAGTCATGAACAAAGGCTCTTCAACCACGTGAATGTCGAGCCCATCAAACTCCTAGACAACGCCAACCAGATAAGAAGACTTAAAAGAACACGAAGCTGTTTAAAATAGTGCTATAAGTAAGTGAAAGTGAAAAAGCAGAGCAAAGTGAGGCTAAAGTGTACACGTTAGCTAGTAGTACTATAATGTATTAAAGCCTAAGGAATATTGCTGAATATAACCTTACATAAGTTCTTTGTAATATTTTGTATATAGAACTAACTTGCTTATTGATCATAGTGAATGCACTAATAGCAATAATCATAAGATAAGAGCTGTTAGAGTTTTATTAAATAAAAAAATAAAATGTGAGCATACAGGCAATCATCGTATGTCATGATGGGCATTAAAATTGTCTCCCATTATATAGTCATAACAAATTTGACTAAATAAATTTATGTAGTCTTGGAATTCCACTCTAACATCGGAGAATTGATATTGTTTTTGGGAGGTTATGACACTATCTTTTTGAAAAATTGTTTTTCACATTAATTACAAATTTATCAAAAAGTCATCAAACATATTAGTGGATATTATATTGCAAATATAGTATAAAGTTTGAACCTAACTTATCCTGGTTCCAGTTTCGTTTAGGTAGAATAGCAGCGATATCAAATGGTAGCTACTTTAGTTATTACTAAATGATTTTACTAGTTTATAATCTTTTCCAGGTTTTAGAAGAGCTCCCAAATATGAAAAGTTTAGTAAATAAGTAAGTTATAAAATATAGCAACAAAAGCAAGTGTGACTACAAAGTATGCAGGCGATAAACGAAAAAGAAGAAAACATTTACTAGTTTTGTAGTAATTTTGTCACATCTATCTCTCTTTAAATTAATGCCAAGTCTACAATAATATCACCCCCTTCATCAAACATGTCAGAAATTGACCAACCAGATAGTTAAGTCAAACATATCTAGTACGTGTCACCGAATCAAAATTTTAGTAAATATTGTGTCATGTGTTATTAATGGTTATTTTATTTTTATATATGTGATATTTCCTTTTATGAAATGGTAGTGAAACACAATTAAAATAAGGTGAATTTATTATTTTGCAAGTACGTGGTGTAATAATATAAGGTAAAATTATTTTTATGTTCCTTTAAATATCCCATATGACTAAGATCAATTCCATCAGGTATCATAAAAGATTAATTTTATTCATAAAATCTGAGAGTTTAGCCAAAAACTGACCTGATTGCAGTTACAATTACATATGCATGATTGTCAGGCGCTATCCATTTTTGTCATCGCTCAATATAACTGTGTCATCTGTGTATCACATATACAGTTTTTTATTAATTTTTACACTATATTTCAAGTTTTGCAAAGCGCCTTTAAGGTTTTTATCTTAATATAAATTAAACAACATTAGGAACACCACACAACTCTGCATGATTCCATATCCTGAAAGCCATATTAATGCTTTTTCTCAAAAACGACACTTTGAACTCTTCATCGTGCTTGTTTACTTCTGTAATTCAAAGAAAAATTAAAAAATATGCAATATTACGAGGTATTATAGCTATATTGATACCTGTAACTTTTCCAACATAGTATATTTTACCAGGGAGCCATATGAGCACAAATTTTCTTCAGCAATTTCCATGTCTGAGGAATCCTCTTAACATTCGACTTCCTCTTCATTTTTACTTGTATCGCTTTCTTCTGAAATATTTCTGCTTTTCGATGGTACCTTCACGTTTTTTTCCTTTTTTATTGATTTTAAATCATTTATATAGCTTTTATTTTTTGGCTCATTGCATTCTTTTGTTCTTTTTCTTTAATAAGCAATTTCTTAGGGGTATTTCTTAACACTGCGTTTTTTTATTTCTTCTTGACCTAGCAGTCTTGATTGGTCTTGTTTTAGGAAATCCTCGTATAATTTTAGAGCTTAAAAACTTAATGCTTCATTTGGCGTAGTTACTTAAGCAACTTCACTTACTTTAGCTTGAATTGGTGTCTCAACATTATTATCTCCGCCAACAGAATTTATTACAGCAGCATTAACATGACTTGGGCCTAGTCCATTAGATAGATCTGTGCTCTTATCGGTGTCTTATAGTATATTACTTACGCTTACTGAAAGAACATCAGCATCACCAAATATATCAGGGTTCAATGGATGAATCTCCGATCTCTCAAATCCTTTAATTACATTGCTGGGGGTAAAAGCATCCAAAAACGCAAGGCGAATACACTTGTCTATATTGTAAATTGTTAAAGGAATACCTGAATTGTTTAGCATCCATTTATCACATTCTCTGTTATATAATATGACTTAAATGGACCAAAAACTGTTAGATCAAGGAGCTGCATTTTATTGCTGCAATGTGGAGGTAAAGTTTATAAAAAAACTCCAGCCTTTCTAGCCTTGCTAACTATTTTTGCACATATGTGATACTATGCATTATCATAAACTAATGGAGAAGGATTATTTATTGAACTATTTGTTTGTTTGATAAAATGTTCCAAATCCTTGACAAATAATTCGGAATTCATCCAGTTGCTCTGTGCTGCCAACCCTAATGTTTCGGGAGCAGCACCTTGTAACATATGTGGCTTGAAAAATTGCCTAGGAAATACTAGTACTGGTGCCCGGAAAGTTCCAGCAGCAGAAAGAATGGCACACGTTGTAACCAGCTTACCTTATTTTCCCACTCGTATAATTGTTTACTTGCTTGACACCCTTTGTTGCAATAATCTTAAATCAAAAAGTCCTACATATTTTCTATTAAAAGAAGTTAGTTTTGATAAACTACAAGCATTTGGTTGTCTTATGCTTAAAGCTTTGCAGCGTTGTATTAAACCTCATAGCCAAACTTCACCTGTAATTTTTGTTAAATTCCATGATTCTGGCGTTTTCAGTTTATTTACAACAAAAACTTTATACGCCAGTTTACGAATAATTAAAGTCGTTAGACCATATGCCATTTTGCTACAGATTTCCAAATACTATTTAAAATTGTGTTCTTGTTCCTTCTTAAACACCAATCTGTAGCCATAATTAGGGGTAATGGAGATTTCCCCTTCAGTCAAGCGTTTTTCAGCCACATATCCTTGCAACGTTTGAAATTTTACAGCACATGATTCGAAGGCTCTTAGATGTTCTCATTTATAACTTAATTTACCGCCCTACTCATTGATTTTTTTAAAAATGTAGCAATTTTTACCGACTTTAAAAGACTCACTGTGTATCCAATGTGGTGTCTCACTTTGTACTATTTTACTCGATGTAAATTATTAACTTATTTGATTACGCGTTATTTGAAGAAGTGATTTTCTATGGTTGAAATTTTGTGAGGTTAGAGCCAACAACAATAATAAATTTTGAAGTAAAATTATCAAATCAAACTACCTGCTCTTAATTACTACTTTAATAGTACCTTTTAAAAAGTAACTACATACTTACCTTTGTAAAATATTTTTTTTGGATATTCTTTTACAAAACTCGAGAAATGCGAATTCACTACAGCGGCATGTGACACTTAACCAAACCAAAACCAAATATCAGCTTAATTAAGCGCCACATTTGAAAGTGAGAAGCAATATTATACTGTTCCTGAATTTTTTATTTAGTTAAACCCCACACCATTATTACCTTGCATATCCCATCCACTGTCCTAATCCTAAATATAAAATAATAAAATGAATCGGAGTTATTTAAATTTTTTTAATTAATTCGACCACCAACTTTCAAAGGTTTCTTAGTCTTTTGTTTGTTTTTGTGAATGTAAATTTTATTTTTGCGAATAGTTGAATTCTTTTAGTAGTTGAATACCAAATTATAAAAATATATAAACTTTTGTTTTCTTATGTTTCAATTTTAAAATACGTATATGTAAATAAACAATAAAAAATATGAAATTTAATGATTGAATTAATATCTTTTTCTTTTGACTGCCTTTTTTACGACTAGTTTCTTAAAAAATTGAAAAATTTAAGACTTAGTTTACAGATCATTTATTTTTAAATGTATATGCAGCTACGATACGATATACGATAAAATTTACCTCAGAGTCTAGCTCTTGCTGTACCTCACAGTGAACGTGTATGTTAATATTCGGCTTATTGGTTATGATATAACCATCACAGTGTATGTATATAAAACGAATGGAGTAAGTATTCCCTCGCTTATATTTTTATACCGTAATGGAAAATTTGAAATAATATTTTCACAACTTTTGATAGCTCGAGTAAAACTACCATTAAGAACGTAGATAAATATTTTCTTTGACAAATGGCTAATATTGTTGCTTAATGTTGAGACTACAGTCTATTCAAGATAAAGATACACTGGGAAAATACAGAATCATAGTAAAACACGTAAGAAGTCATAGACGTACGGTTTTGATTTTCTATTAAATTATTAAAACTTGGTAAAATTGCTACTTGTTTTAGCAAGACTGGCTTTCAGTTTTTTACAAATGCAATAATTAGTGAACATTGTTTGTTAACCGTTAATATTGTTTGTATTTTATTTTTGTTGTATTTTGTTGTGTAAGTATGTAGTTTTTGTAGATTAATTTTTATATAATTCAATTAATAATAAGTATAGAAGAAAAAACAAATACATCCAACGAAAAAACTGCTGAAAAAATCTTTTCTATACAAATGAAATAAAATTTCTAGGAGTAATATTTGAATAACAGTTAAATTGGAGTCATATCTAGCAGTAAGTTCTTTCATATCAAAATGACCTTACGTTCTTAATGTACCTAGCTCACAAAACTTGGGGTGCCGATAGTAACACACTACTCATGTTATACAGATCCTTAATTCGTTCCAAAATTGATTACGGATATGTTGCATATGCATCTGCCAGTACTTTTTCTTCTTTTACCTTTATTAGTCCACTGCTGGACATAGGCCTCTTCCATTTGCTTCCATTGATTGGCAATTCTCATCCATTGCCTGCCCGGGACTTGCTTGATATCATCTGCCTACCTCTTCTGTGGTCTGCCTACTCCTTGCCTGTTCTCTCTTGGTCGCGAGTTTGTTAATCTCTGTGTTCATTTTTTGGGATTATCTCGGGCAGCATGTCCGACTCATTGCCACTTGAGCCATGCTATACGTTCTGCGACATCAGCATTCTTTGTTCTTTCACGAATGTCGATATTTCGAATCTTGTCTCCCAAACTAAATATATCAGCAGGATAAAATAATAGGATTTGTTAAATAATAGAATAATTTGATTTTACATCAAACATTTTACGTTTTGTGTTAAACTAAAGTCATAATCAACACATTTTATTTTCAAACCAAATTAAGAAATAGTTAAACTAAACTAAACTAAATAACATTAAACCTTTTGTTAAAGTAAGTGTTTAATATGTCCACCATTTTCTTTATCACATTTGTCAATACATTCCACAAAATATCGTCTGATATTAAATAGCATGATTGGTTCTAAAAAAACTGATGCAGTATTTATTATAACTGTTATAAGTATAATAATAAGCAATTTTTTAAAATTTTTATGAATTAAACAATTATAATAATATCTCACCACAAGAATATGACTACCACGAACAATCCAACGTTCAGTAAAGTTGTATTTAATTATAGTCTCACTCCGCTTTCTCTGAAGTGTAATGGTGTATTACCTTGTAGAAACCACATATTTCGCCTTAAGTTTGATAACTATTCTTCCAATAAATCAATAAAATCATTTTATAAAAAATGTAAATAAATCTCGACATTCAAACTGCAAGTTAATTCGCATACCCGTAAAAAATATTTACCAATGGTTCCAAACCATAGGACATGCATTTTAAATATGAATTTTGAATGATATTTTACGGATATGCGAATTACCTTGAAATTTGAATAGTGAGATTTATTTACATTTTTTATAAAATGATTTTATTATTATGGAAGAATTGTCATCAAACTTAAGGCTTAATAGGTGGTTTATACTAGATGGTACACCAATACGTTACAGAGAAAGGGAAGTGAGAACAGTATTTAAAAACAACTTTCCTGAACGTTCGTGTTAGTCATATTCCTTGGTCATGTGGTGAGATACTAATATATAT